CTACCTCTTCTATTTTTTTTTATTACAATTTTACCCTAACATCAATTTTCATTTTTGACCCCATCTCCATCCTTCTAACCCTAATCCTAAACCCAAACCCGCCTTTACCTTTACTCCAGTTGGCAGCCTCCTCGTCATCACCAGATTCGACCACCTCTATATCATAACACCGCTATCACCCCTAAGCATCGTCGTCACCCCATAACTCCCCCCGTGAGCCCTCTTTTTCTTTGTTGTAACTGCAAGACTCCTACAAACCTTAGATCTAGGATTTGCGTCGCTTTTTCTAGCTGACATTGCCATCGCCGCCATAATCCATGCAAAGAAGAAGAATGAGGAGAATGAGGGGTGTGGGTTTGCGATGGTCGTGTTGGAGAAGAGGGAGAGAGTGAAAGGAGCTTCGCGACTCAGCTAGCAAGAGAGGGGGGAGCTTTACGAATGAAACTGAACCAGAGAGAGAGAAGAGCTTCTGAGAATCAAAAGGCTTTCGAACAAGGGTGGCGATTCTAGTCAAAAGCTAATTGCGTCGTAGTGGAAGGAAGGTCAAGAGATCGTCGGGAAGAAGGTTAGAGAGAGAAAGAGAGAGATTACAAGTCTAGATAGGGCTAGGCTATGGCAATGGTGGGTGAGAATAGGTTGATGGGTGGTGGCGTGGTGGACAAGGGTCAAAGGGAGGTCAGAGAGGGGTGGGCAGTGGTGAATGGCGGCGAGAATGAGTTGGGAAAAGTTGTCGGAGCTGTAGTGGTTGGGGGTTAGGGTTTTAGGAGGTTCAAAGAAGAGAGGTATAATTGGGATTAAGGTGAAGGTTCAAAGAGAAACTATGAGGCACTTAATTAAGTGGGTAGGGATTTAAAGAAATGAGGAGTTCAAAGAAATAAGAAAGGGGTAAATAGTAGGCCTCATATATATATCACTACAAGAAAACTGGGTATATGAGACAGGACTATTTGCGACGGCACACTTGCCGTCTCAAAAAGTCACTTTTTGCGACGGCAGAAAATGCCGTCTCAAAAAAGCAGAGTATTTGCGACGGCACCATTTGCCGTCTCAAAAAAAGTTGTCGGAGCTGTAGTGGTTGGGGGTTAGGGTTTTAGGAGGTTCAAAGAAGAGAGGTATAATTGAGATTAAAGTGAAGGTTCAAAGAGAAACTATGAGGCACTTAATTAAGTGGGTAGGGATTTAAAGAAATGAGGAGTTCAAAGAAATAAGAGAGGGGTAAATAGTAGGCCTCATATGTATATGATGATATGGCTCATTATGGACATTTTACTTGAAAACAAAACACCATTAAAGATAGATTTATTTATAATAATAATATTGTCACATCATTTTTGTTAAGTTTTTTGTATAAATTTTATGTATGTTCAGAATTTTCTAAACTGAATATAAATATGATTTGATAAAGGGACAATTGATACCCAAGTAACTTGATCTTTTACAAATATATTCTACTCAATATTCTTTAAAAATTGAACGATTCAAATCATAAAAATATGACTAGAAGTAAATCTCAGGAGTGATGCAATAGTCACAATTGTATTCACAACACAACAGTGACGCTGAACACAAGAAAGTGAATGTAATTTATCCTTTTCTTTTTATCCATTTTGGATAGATGACTTTATAGAAATGCCCTTTCAAGTTTCAATTATTCTTTCTTTTAAAAATTTTGTATTATTTGTGTGGCCAACGATTGTAGACAAATTATAATGTATGGAACACAAACACATTAGAAATGGGCACTTTGCTTGGTTTCAGAATTAATTGGTGTGCACGTAAGCTGGTCTAGAGGATCTTAAAAGAAAAAAAGAAGACTTACGTGTAGGTCCTAATAAGTGAACTTATGTGTATGATAATTAATGATATTTTTCATTAAATACTATCAAAAAAATGTCACTAATTGTTAATTTTCATCGACAGTTTGAAAATTTTGTTACAAAAATGTCACTAATTATAAGTTTTAGCGACAGTTTAAACAAATTATCACCAAAAAAGATAACTTTTAGCGATAGTTTGAGAAAATCGTCATAGGACAACGTCACTAATTGTAAGTTTTAACTATAATTTATAAAAAAATTGTGATAAAAAAGTCACAAATTATCAATTTTTAATGACATGTATAAAATCGTTATAAAAAATTATTTTTAATGATAATTTTATTAAAATTTATTTCAATAAAACTTGATAAGAATTAAATTTAACTATTAAGATGATAATTTATCCTTTATATTATTTGTGCTGCCAACCATTCTAGACAAATTATTTTAATGTATCCAACACATAAACACATTAGATATGTGCGCTTTGCATGATGCTAAAATTAAGGGCATAACTTCCCTCTAATCCCAGATCGGATTGAAGGGTATTGTTAGACTCGTGAGGGTCTATCATGGGTCTCGTTTTGATAATCCGAACCATTCGATATGTTGAATTCATCGAGTAATATATGCTTGTAAAAAAATTAAGTTAATCGGATATCGATAGTTACGTGATCAAATCAGTTTTGTATTAAAAAAAATTGAGGGTGAAAAAATAAACGGTTGACAAAAATCTGATCCAATGAAATAGCTATCGATATCCGATCAACGTGATTTTTTACAAGTATATAGTGCTTGACGAGTTCCACACATTGAACAATTCGGATTATCGAAACGGAACCCATAATGAGCCCCCCACAAATCCAACAATACTCTCCGATTTGATTGAGACTGGAGAGAAGTTGTAGCCCAAAATTAATTGATGTGGGTGTTAATTAGGGATGTAAATCTGGTTCGACCCAGCTCGATCCATGTCAGGCCTTGCGGGCTTCGGCGAAAATTCAAATCTGGCCATGGCCTGCTTAAGGCTCGAATACCCTTGAGCCTAAGCTTGGGCTTGTGCTTAATTTTTTGGCTTGTGGGCTAGCCTCAGGCTTGTGCAGGCCTGACAATTTTTTTGTTTTTTTAAATTTTTTCTACTAAAATTTTATTATTTTTCACTGAAAAGAATACTGGCTCTCGGGCAGGCCAAGCTTTGGGTTAGGTCTTAAGTATGCCTTAAGCGGGCCGATGGGCCGAGCCATGAGCCAAGCCTAGTCAGACTTTAAAGTGATAACCCAAGCCCAAATCTAATGGTTCAAGCTAGACTTTAGATTTGGCCCAAATAAACCTAGACTTCAGATCTAACCCAAATAAACCTAAACGAGCCGGACAAATTTTAGGCCGCTCATAGATCGCGAGTTATTTTTATAGTCTTAGGCCTCGTTTGGCAAGTGGTAGGGGTGGGCGCGGGTCAGTTGCGGCCACGGAACCTCCAATCCGCCATCCGTCTGCCAGATTGGTGGATTGGAGAAAATCAATCTACATCCGTCCGCCAATCTGGCGGATGAAGATTGAGCGGATTGGCGGTTTGGCGGATGGATGCGAATCGGTTTGGCGGTTTGAAATTTTATAAATTTTCAATATAGTTCAACTTGTGTACTTCCTCAAAAAAGAAAAAAGAAAAAAAAAAGAGTATTACAGTCAATGACTTAAAAAAGTATTACAATTACTGCATGCCTCATCCAAAGAAAGAAAGTTTGAAACTTAGATTATTACAATTACTACATGCCTCATCCACATATTACAATCACAACATGTCTCATCCACATAAAGTATTACAATCTGTGGTTCTTAAAATATAAAAACAATTCAAACCACCAAAACCATGAAGAGAGTAATAGTAGAGATTGTATGTCTCTGTATTGTTACATTGATATATGTTTTTGAAAACAAAAACCAGCAACATATATCATATTTTTTATTTATTACTTTTAGAGTTAGATTTAAAAACCAAAAAATATAAATAGATAATACGTTTATTTTTTTCAATTCAAAAAATATATTCAGGTTGAAAACTTTTTTTCAACAGAATATTTAAACTCTTTTTCAATTGAAAAATAAACAAAATATTTAAACAAATTGAAAATACAAAGTCTTATAAATTACTAAGGGTGCTCACGGTTTGGCGGTTCGGTTGCGGCCAAAGGAACCTCAAATCCGCCATCCGTCCGCCAAATTAGCGGATTGGAGAAAATCAATCCGTAACCGTCCGCTCGTCATCATGCATCTGTTCGAAATGCGGCGGATCAGTTCAGTTCGGTCGGTTTTGGCGGATCCGTATATCCGCTGTTCACCCCTAACAAATGGCTTTTTTAGCCAAAAAATTACTAAAAAAACTAAAAAGCCCACAACCTATACAAAAAAGTCAAAGATTTCTTTATCTCTTTACTTTTTGCATATCTTATCGTAAAAAATTAAAAAATTATCTTAAATATACTAATTTTTTTATATCATATTTTAGCTGAAAAATTTAAAAAATTACTACAAAGCCCTGTACCCAAACGAGACTTTAGTGGTAATTAGGGGTGTGCGCGGTGCGGGTCGGTGCGGTTTGAGAGAAAAATAGAAACCGTATGGCGGGTGGCGGATTGATAAAAGTGTCACTAGAATTTGCCATTTTCCTTATCAAAAACCGGCGGTTCGGTTGGCAGATAATGGCGGATTTGCCTTGGCGGTTCGGGTGGATTGCTCGCGGTTTGGCGGTTCGGTTGCGGCCAAAGGAACCTCAAATCCGCCATCCGTCCGCCAAATTGGCGGATTGGAGAAAATCAATCCGTAACCGTCCGCTCGTCATCACGCATCTGTTCAAAATGCGGCGGATCGGTTCAGTTCGGTCGGTTTTGGCGGATCGGTATATCCGCTATTCACCCCTAACAAATGGCTTTTTTAGCCAAAAAGTTACTAAAAAAACTAAAAAGCCCACAACCTATACAAAAAAGTCAAAAATTTCTTTATCTCTTTACTTTTTGCATATCTTATCGTAAAAAACTAAAAAATCATCTTAAATATACTAATTTTTTTATATCATATTTTAGCTGAAAAATTTAAAAAATTACTACAAAGCCCTGTACCCAAACGAGACTCTAGTGGTAATATAAAGTAGGCCTGAAAACCGGTATAAAAAAAAAAAAACGTTAGAACGGGAAGTGCTTTGTGTCAAATTTTCTTTTGACGGGGCCCACGCTGTCCCCATTCAGTTGTTCAACTGACACAGATTTCTGCAGATGGCCAAACCCCCACCTTCTCCGTCTTTCAAAGCTCGAAATTAGGGTTCTTGTAGTTTCCTTATCCCTCTCATTCTTACTCGAACTCTGCTCATCTCTTTGGAAAATTGAAACAATGGGCAATACATCTTCAATGCTCACTCAGTACGACATCGAAGAGGTTCAAGAGCATTGTAATCACACCTGTAAGCCATTAATTTGATGTATTCAATTTTTGGGTTTTGTTTAGACTTTGATTTTGTTACTGGGTTTTGGGTATAGTTTCTCAGCAGGAGATAGTCTCGCTCTATCAGAGGTTCTGTCAACTCGATCGCAACAGTGGTGGCTTCATCTCCGCCGATGAGTTCTTGTCAGTACCTGAATTCGCCGTCAATCCTCTCTCTCAGGTTCTCAATCACACTCCATTCCCTTTCTCTCTTTCTATATATACATACACACAAGCAATGAGACCCACAAAGTGGATTAGGGATTTGGACCTCAAAGAGGCCTCAAACGAATTTGTATGCTGGCATATGCACACATTGTATTGTTTATGCATATGTTTAATTGTATCAAGATGTTGTATTGATGAATTAAGGGAGCGTATGGAGTTTTAATGTTGATTTTGTTTATCTATTTCCTCTGTTCAGAGATTGTTCAGGATGGTGGATGGATTGAATTTCAAGGAATTTGTAGCATTCTTGTCGACATTTAGTTCTCGTGCAAGTTTACAACAAAAAGTAGAATGTAATGACTCTTACTCGTGTATTTTTTTTCTCTATTCACATTTTAATTATGTTGATTTTCTTTTAACTGGAGGAGTGCCAAACTCTCTCTCTCTCTCTCTCTAGTTAGGGTCTTGGCCCCAAGAGGGGGGAGCTCCTTCAATTTTGGAGACTGGATCAGACTATGCTACCTTTTGTGTTTGATTATTATTTGTTCTCTGGCTTTCAATTTTTCCACGACCAAATGTCGTAACAGTACCTATGTTTTGTGTAGTCATCTTCAAGGTTTATGATTCAGATGGTAACGGGAAGGTTGCATTCAATGATATGTTGGATGTTTTGCGGGATTTGACCGGACAATTTATATCTGAGCCACAAAGGGAGGTTGGTTCTCTGTCTTTTATTTATTTATTTATTATTTATGCACAAACATGTTCAATGGAAAATTGAATAGGGTATTTGTTGTCATTTTGGGCCCATGAGATATGATCCCCTAGTTAGTTCTTTGCCACTATTGAGCACATCTTCCATTTGATGGCCAACATGTTGTGAGAATAGTAGATAAAAAACTTTTGGTTCATTCTGATTTGGGAAGAATGAAAACAAAAGGCTTCCTAATACATAAAATATGTGACTTTTTATTTTTTATTTTTTAAAACCAATATCATTTCAAAATTTAAGCAAAGGGTTAAAAATTTGAATCGTGATACATTTCCAGTGACCGTAGTTTGTCATAAATTCCATGTTTCATATGTCCTGTCTCATATGGGAATCACACAACATATTTTTCATGATATCCAAACTTCTTGAAAGCCTTTTTCATGAGATCTTGTATTTTCATTACATAGCTATGGAGCAGACAATCATGCAAAAAAAATGGTTTTCCCCAAACGGTTGTCATTGGTGCTTTCTACTTCAAAAATGAAATCTAATTTGAGTTCGCTTAATTGCTTTCAACTATTGGATATATGAATATGAGTACCTTGAGTAGAAACTTCAAAACTTTTTAAAGCTAATTAATGTCCATGTTATTAAAAATTTTAAAATCTTGATTTTAGATGATTGTGATGGTTATGCAAGATTAATTGTTGGCAGAGATTTTTCTTGTTATGCATTGTCAAGAAAGCAAATCAAACAAACAGACTCGAGAATCTTTCAAAATTTTTTATTTTACAATTTTATGGTGAAAAGAGTTGAGAAGTGTTGCCCTATTGATTGATGATACAAAAGGTACAAAACATGTATCATGAAACTAACAGTAAACTGTTAGCAGACTTCGGATCAATATGGGGAGATTTTTTGAGATTGTGGTTACGAAGAACTTGCTGAGAATCTCTCACTTGGAGAATATGAGATGATGGGGTTGGTTGCTGAAGTGTTGGGTGAGTTTTTGTCAAAGGAATGAAGGAAGAAGATTGGCAAAGTTCTTATTTGGAAGTCACTGGGACTAAGAGATGAGTAGCTATTTACTATGAGCAATTGGAAATGGTATAGTTATCAAGATGGATCCCTCATTGTGTAAAGGAGCTATCTCATTCTTTAGAAGGTGCTTGGTGGGTTGAATGGATGGATCAATGTTAACCAAAAAGGCTAGCCCTTAGCGATTTACGTTTTGGAAAGTACGTTCCAAAATGTGGTACACTTTTGTTCCAAAACGGTGAATCTAACGATCCAAAATGATCCCATATTATTTTTAAGGTTTTCATCATTGAAAATCAAATATAATAAACTAAAATCTGATAGAGTGGAGTTTTGGATTGACAAAATGTAAAACAATAGATCACATTTTAGAGTTGACAAAATGCTCATAGAATTGTGTTGTTAGACAATTAATTTGAAGAAAAATGCACTATAATATATTGGATGTCCACTTAAGAAGTCTACCACTATTATACCAGATTTTAGAGCACGTGGCGTACGACCCGTTCCCAATCCTCATACCAAAATTATACATGTTCTAGGTAACATAGAGATGGATGGGCTCAAATAGGTAGATCCCTTTTGGGGAGTGTCAATGGGGGTTAGAGTGTGATATGAATGTTTGCTATTCATCCTTCCATTGTATAAGGAAGCTGGGATTGGGAGGGTTCGGTTTAATCAACGATTGTTTTTAGAGGGCTGGCCAGTACTACTAGCTTTGTGATCAGTGTTTAGAGGTCAACGGACAACCTAAAGAAAGTTTTGGCTTGATTGATGGTTTTTCTCTACACTTGTGGAATGACATAGTATTTATTTAGTATTCGGAGTTGTGGGGACCATGCTTTTGAATTGAGACACATGTTCAATTTCGAAGCTGACAAGTATGGCTAAAGAGAAAAAGAAAAGGGCATCTAAGAGAAGAAACTACTAAGAGATTCAACAACTATCTCTGAGAACTTATTAACCTCTTGAATGGACAGGAGAATTACTTGGCGGAGCCATCTCGAATCAAGCACTCAATAATCAGTTAACTATGCGGGTTAAATAAAAGACCAAGATCTCCTATGAAATATAAAAGATCATTCATCATAAGAAGGGTGTGGCTTTACCAACTTAAAATAGGTAGCCAACAAAAGGCGAGTGTCCATATGCGAGCGTTATTGAAAACACAATGAAAGTCTTTTGATGTATGTATTTTATTCTTAGGTGTGGATGATGACACAACTTCTATAGCCCACTTTTGATGGGCTAGGATTTGCATAAGAGGTAATAATCGTCTGATTAGATCCTATCTTTGATGGGCATTGGAGAAATAACAATGTGGATGGAGGTTTGCCCGCACCAGAGTTCAGAGCACTTTGTACAAACAAAAGGGGGAATTGAAGTGGAGGGAAATGGTTTGGAATATAAGCTCCGAAGGCTCGTGGCCTAGAAAAGTTGAGATCTAAAGGCGATACACATGGTAGGCTTTCATTAGGCCATGTAGTACAAAATCCCTCATTCACCAGTTGAAAACAAGAAATGGGCCCTTGATATCCAATACGGACTATGCCGGAGAGTTCTTGGACTTTTATGGGTACCAAGGGAGAAAGATAAGGTCAGGGAAAAAACTACATAACAATTGTGAGGTTCATATGAAGAGTGGGCTAAGGTTTATGATTGGCCCTAAAAGGAGACTAATAGAAGCTTCTAAGGCCCAATTACTGGTGACAAAGATTTTAGTGGGGCAATTAATGTTAGGGTAGGCCCAAAGTCCAAGGTACTGTTGTTGCTTCACATTCTTTTTCTTTTCTGCTGGTGTATCAATGAAAGGAGCTGTCAACTTTTGGGAAGAGAGAGAAGAAGGATGCAAAGTCGCTCATGGGGAATGTAGGCTTGCAATAGAGTCCAAGGGAATGTAGACTTTCAATAGAGTCCAAAGGAATAGGAACTGAGGAGTGAAATCATCTGAGTAGGAGAGGTAATTGATATGGAAACCTCAGTAGCAAATTTGGGATGTAGGATGGGATCTTTGCCTTCAACCTTCCTGGGGCTTCTATCATGCTTGTCCTTCCAAAACAAGGCTGCTTGGGATGTGGTGGTGAAATGATTTGAGACGAGTATGACTACTTGTAAAAAACAATGACCTTTCCGAGGAGGCAAACTTTACTCCCTTCAATAGCATTCTTTCTAGTCTTCCAGTTCCAGACATATTTCTTGTCTATCTGCACTATGATGCAGAATGTGCCCATTTTAAATTGACGTGGAGTTTTATTTACTTCGTAATTTCTTATGAAAGTGGTATGAAATCTTGTGTTTCAAAGATCTTTTTAGGACTGGGTGGTGGTTGAGTTTGTGGTGGTGCTTTTTGGGTTGCATCAGAGCAATAGGGGGTGGAAGATTCTTGGTATGGAAAGGGTCTGAGAAGCATATTGCAGTGGGTTCCTTATTTTTTGGAAACTGGTTGGGGTGGACTCAAAATCTTTCTTTGGAAAAGGATTTAGCGCTGGATGGCTCCTCCCATTTTGTTTTAAATTGGTGTTGCATGTGCAAGACTCTTGGGGAGTGTGAACCATCTTTTATTGCATTGCCTGGTGGCTAGAGAGGTGTGAAGTATGTTGTCCTGTGTTTAGAGTTGAGTGGTTGATGCCATAGTCAGTTGAGGAGATTTTGGCATCCTCAAGTAGGGGTTGTCATGGGGATAGTTATAAAAAGGCTTCGGAGGTAGCTCTTTTATGTTTAATATGGTGCTTGTGGAGCAAGGACTAGATCTTTTGAGCATTTTCATAGCTCAATTTTTTGTTTGAAAGGAACAATACTTGTCTCCATGTATTTTTGGCTTAGGGAGATTTTTTTCTTTTCCTTTATATTTCTTTTCTTGACGTTTTGGGGAGATGTCTATCCCTGTAGGTATATGGGAGATCCATAATTTGTTTTTGTTCTATCCATAATGTGTACAAGGTTGTGTTCCCTTTTTGTTGGCGCCCTTTAATGCAATTGTTAACTTTACTTATCAAAAGAAAATAAGTAAAAGTATTGTACGATTTCTGCAAGACTGAAGTTGTTGCTAACTTACATGTCTGTCTTTTGTGCTTGTATTTGTACAGCAAGTTTTGACCCATGTGCTTGAGGAAGCTGGCTACACAAAGGATTCTTTGTTAGGTCCATCAGACTTTATGAAGGTAATAAGAATTTTTTCTAGCAAATGTACTTGATGCAATTTTGCACACGATTTGTTAAATAGTTATGATGTTCAAGATGAAACACATAAATTTTGACTTGGCATGTCTCTTTCTTCTTTGGGAAAAATCTATTTTACTCCCTTATAGTTTGGTGCCATAGCACTTTAACCCCTCACATGTTTAAAATAGTCAGAAACCTTTCATGATTTTGATCATTTTACTCTATACCTCCCTACAGTTACAAATTCTGTCTAAATTAACTGCAATTGTGGTCTACACACTCCAAATTTAAGAGTACGCAGGAGGGAAAAAAAGTTTTAAAGTCTAACTGTAATGTAAAATTACAAATATATGTGTCTTCATCTTCCTAGCCTTGTGTGATATTTCCGCCGCATCACTTTCTCTGGTGCCACTCTACCATTTCACATGTGGCCAACTTTATGTATTTTATTTATTTATTTTTGTGTAATTCTTTGAATCTTGACACCATTGAATCTCATTCAAAATTAAATGTGTTTGTTTCTAAGTTCCTAAAACAATGGACATGGCAAAAGTATATGGAAAAAAAATTATTTATCGTATTCATAGGATCACAAATATCTGACGTTTAAACAAGCTTTTCAAACTTATTGCTAAGAAGATGCATTCAACCAGTTGGAAGTATCCCTCACGAATGGTGTCCTTAAAAGTAAGTGACTGTAGGAATGTTCTAACCAGGGAAGAAATATGTTCCCCTGTTCAAATTTAGAAACAGTTTTTCCAAACTGGTGTGCATGAGTGCTGAACTAGAGGAAAAGGGTACAGGACCTTGTGGTTGTGGACTGTTTTGTTGATGAAGAAAAGGATGATAGAAATGATAGAAGTTTTTAGGGCAAATTACAAACGCCCTCCTCGAGATTTGGTGAAAATACTGATTCCCCCCTGAGGTTTGAGAAATTACATCCCGCCCCCTGAGGTTTATGTTTCCATAACAAATTGCCCCCTGAGGTTTATATTTTCATACAGATTCGCCCCTAATTTGTTATGCAAATTTGACTCTCAGGGGATAATTTGTAATTTCTCAAACCTCAGGGGGGAATTTGTATTTTCACCAAACCTCGAGGGGGGTGTTTGTAATTTGCCCAAGTTTTTATGTATTTATTGTCTTTATGGTAGGGAATATGGAACCTTAAGCACGCACGCATACATGTGAGCGCAATGTCCATACACACAAACTTTGTATTTTCTTGTCATATATTGTTAGTAACAGTAGTTGTTACACATGGACTCCTCATAATAAATCAAATACTGAACACCCGACACTCGGACAAGGGTATGGATTATGTGTCGACTACTTTTCAACAGATAATTCTTATATAATTATATTTAACACTATTATTATATGTACATATTGTTGTATAATTGATATAATGTCTTCTTGACATTGGCCCTGTTTGGTAGAGCTGTGGGAAAGTGCTTATAGCTGATGCCTAAACAGTTTATAGCTTATAACTATGAACATAAGCTGATTTCTGACTTATAAATTAAGCATCTCCTGCCCCACTTAAAGAATAAGCTAATTTCTGACTTCCAAAAAGTTATAAGCTATAAGCTAAACCAAACACATCAAAATAGCTTAAATTAAGCTGAAAGCTGAAATAAGCAACTTTTAAGTTACACCAAACAGGCACATTGTAAGTTACATATAATATTATTTTATCTCACTTGATTAAAAATATGAAAATATCACATTTTTTTTTTGCCAAGTCCACATACCTTTAAATTTATGGTTTGATGATCCGACCCCTAGATGCATGCCCACACCCGACATCCCCACCCTAGTCCATATAACATAGCTTGTATCATGGCAACCCTATCCACCAACATTAATTAACTGTAACTTGTTAGCAGAATAACATGCTGTTCAATGTTCTTTATGGATACCAGTTATTTTCACCCTTGTTTTAGAGAAGTTGCAATGCATAGTGCTCAATTTTGTTATCAGACCTTGTTCAGACTTGGGAGTTCCAGGCATTACCCTGAGAATTATAGGAATTACCCCTGCAATATATTGTTAAGCTTTGTAACATGGACTCAGATATAAGTATCGGATGTGGAACAAACGTTTGGCACATTCTGCTGCTCAATCCTTAGAATTGATTTGCCTCTATATCTCGTAAAAATGCTAAAACAAAATTGGTCCTCTATAGTAGAAGGTTAATAACCTGAACTTAAGGTATTAAATATATAGTATAACATATAATATTATGACGGAAGATGTTGTTTATTAGTTAAAAATTAAATGGAATTTTGGAGGAATGAGATTTATATCTCCCATCCACATGAGAGTTTATAAAAAAAAATTTATTATCAAATGTGAGCTTCTTTTTTTTCAAACATGGTAAAAATTTAGATGATCCAAGGATCTAATTTTGGTATAGGGTATCTCATATATGGTGGTGGTGGGTACAGGGCATATAGGAGTCCATGTAACTCTCATTAATTTTGTTTCGGTAGTGCTACATGCACCAATTAGTATACTAACTAGTATACCAACACTAGTTATGATATTATTATTGACCCCACTCATTAATCACATTAAAAATTTTAAAAATCTCTTAAATTATGCCACATCATCAATTGGTACACTAGTTAGTATATCAATTGGTACATATAGCATTATTCATTTTGTTTGTTTGTTTGTTTGTTTTTTTTTTTTTAAACCAGGATTTGAATGGTTGGTATAAGGTAATTTGGATGAATGCACACTGTCGAGTAAAAGAGAAACTTTTGTATAGTGATGTCTAGGGAAATGCATTCGAATTTAATGATGTCATTTTCTGGTTTGAGTGCAAACTATGTTTTACAGTAGTTTTTTTCTTTCTGTTTTCTTTTGGTTAATAAATGTTTTGCTAAATAACTATTCATATTTCTTGCAGATTCTTGGAAACTCTGATTTGAAGATGGAGGTTGAGGTCCCGGTTGATTAACTGAGGATAATGATTGTTGGAGTGACAGTTTCTTAAATAATCGAGCTCCAAGTCGGCTGTTTGTTGTTTGCAATGTTGTATAAAAAAAAAAATGTGTTCCCTAGTTATGTTGGTAGTTTACGCCGATTGCGTTTAGTTTCATGGTATGTTGTCACTCTCCCATTGTTTGCTTTGTTAGCTGTTGCAGTTGAACTGAGAAGACAAATTGATCATTTATTTGATAGGTGCATGGCACTAACTTCTTCCATCATAAACTTCACCCAAGGGGGCTTATTTGTTATCATTTTTATTTTTTTTTGTTTATGTTCTTTTAAATAGCAAAATCCTATAACTCACACACACTCACAAATTATTTGGCAAACTGTTTTTGAAAAATTGATAATAATAAAAAAAAACTTGTTGCATATGAGACCAGTATATTTTTATGATAATACAGGTAGTGGTTTTTACCAAAAGGAGAAGCTTGTTTATTGAAGATCGATCATTAGTGGATAATCATAGTTGTTTTTGTGAGATCTTTATCAATTTTTTTCTTTTTTCTGTGTATCTGTGGGGTTGGGCTTAGTGATAGTAGGTTTAATAGGAGAAAGCAGGGGAAGATTTTTTTATTGGAAAACAGAACATTCTGGTGCACAATGATTTTTCTTGTTGATGCTAAACAATGACTGGATATCAACTCAACTAGAACACTTCTATATTTTAAAATAATATTGGTTGGATTACAAGTTTGATCTTTACATTCTATATATGTGTATCATTTACATGACAAACTACATGTATACATATGTAGAAGTTATCGCAGCGAAATATATTAACAAGAATGTAATGGAGGAGATTGGTGGACATGAGTTTGTTTGGAGGGCAATTTTATTCTGGAAAATGTCTCGTAGCTCAAATTTTGTGGCTCAAAAGTGACTCAAATGGCCAAAACGACGTCGTTTTGGCCATTTTTATGTTGTTCTGTACTCAAAACGACGTCGTTTTGGCCATTTGAGCCACTTTTGAGTCACAAAATTTGAGCTACGTAGCATTGTCGTTTTATTCTCTAAAGGAGGAAAAATTACTGCACAGTGATAGAATACCACGTGACAAAGTCAGGTGGTATTTTTTACTAATCACAAATAAAAATAGTTATACTTCTCTCTTTTCTCTCAAAAACTAATATAAATATAATGAATCTCATTATTTAAGTCAATCACAAAAAAATAAATAAATAAAAAATTCATCACTTGACTTACCCTATATTTGTTTGCATTTCTTTCCATATGCCTCTACTACTTTCTGGAGTAAACTTCAATTGGATGAGGAAGTTTGAGAGTGAATCGCATATTCCCAGACTTGCTAAAGTAAAAAATATTGAGTAATGATATATTAGAAATGTTAGGTATTTTGAAAAATATTAAAAAAAGAAAAAAAAAAAAGGAAGATATGTATAATTTTATTTTTTTTTTTTTTTGGTATGATTCACACTATATTAAATTTAAATCTATATCATAAACTTAATATTTTGAGTACGTTTTGGAGTAATTTTTTTTTCCTCTTATGGCTTATGGGGGTTGTTTGGGGTGTTCTAAATAAATATATTTTTTGTCTTTTTAGACTAAAAAGTTGAAGAAAAAAATATGAATGTTTGGATTAACTTTTTGACTTTTTATGAAAAATGTGAATCAAAAAATTGTATAAGTAAGTGTGTAGGAGAAGATAGTGAAGTAGGCCGTACAGGTTGGGCAGTGGAGTTGACTGGGTAGGAGATGAAAAAAGATTGCCTTCTTTTCGGGTTTTGATTGAACGGTGTTATTTGGCCCGTGGGCGCCCATCACGGGTCCCGTTTTTCTAATCGGAACTGTTCGATGTATAGGACTCATCGAGTATTATATGCTTGTAAAAAAATCACGTTGATTGGATATCGATAGCTATCTGATAGTATAAGTTGTTTTTGTCAACGGTTGACTATAATACCATCCATTTTTTATACAAAACTGATTTGATCATGTAGTTAGCGATATCCGATAGACGTGATTTTTTATAAGCATATAGTACTAGATGAGTTTTACATATTAACGGTTCGGATTATCAACGGATGATCAAAAAAGGACCCATGGTAGGCTCCCATAGGCCCAAATTTACTATCCTACTTAGTGAATATACACAAGTAATTTTTTTTTCCTTTCACTGCCTTTACTTTGACGTTAGTACTTAGGTTAGAGCAAAACTAATTTATATTTTAATATTTGTTTATTAATTTTTTTTATATATATTTTTGTGAATAGTGATAATTTTTTAACTTTTTAAATAATTTTTAACTTTTTCTAACATTCCCAAACCAGGCCATAATATTTTCTATAGAATTTGCATATAGAATTACTTAGACACGTTGTCACACACCAAGTGTGTGAAACAGTTAGATCGACAATGACTAATTAAAACAGTTCTGTAGGATTAGAAATTATTCCAAAGTGCGAGAAAAGTAACCGACATTATCTGCATCATCTATACCAAGTATGCAGTTTGCTACATAAGAGGGGCCCTAGCCTCTAAATTGTGTAAAAATTAGGGCTCCAGACTAAGGCCTAGTTTGGCTACTGCAAAAAAAGTGCACTTATTTCATCTTTTTTGGGTCACATCAATTAACATCTCCTCTCTACTTTTTCTACACATAATACAAAAAAAGTCAAAAAGTGTACTTATTTAGTTTTCCCAAACTAGGCCTAATTTAGTTTGTATGTTAAGTTTGATTCGTCGAAATAAAATAATTATTCTATTATAATATTTATTTTCACTTTTGATTCATTAAAAAAATAATAAAAAAATATTACAAATAAAATCATCATTATAAAAGAATAATTGTTCTATAGAGAGGATGAGGAATAACTATTCTATTAATTTCATTTTAGTGAATCAAATATTATGTTATTGTATTAGTAATTTAAAAATAAAGTTTCACTGATTTTTTTTTTTAAATAATTAAAGTGGTGACTTGTTTAATAGTTGATGATACAGCGTGTTCCAGATGGAACGGGTCAGATTGATTCACGCTTTCCAAACCAGTGTTCGAGGTACCAAGCTCACAGAGAAACCTGCACAAGAGTTCAACGGAGACCGGGGAATCCCCCAGCGAACCCTCCGACGAGCAAGTTAAAAAGAGAGACGAAATGTAGAGATAGATTAGTGATAGAGAAGCTTAACCTTCTCCTTGTCTTCGATGCCTGCTTATATCCTCTGCTAATCATTTCGTTGTCCCTTCCGACCTGTCATCTTGGCCGAAAGTCTATGCTTTAGCTTACCTTGTTCATGGTGATGCCGTTTTGTCCCAACGAGGAGGGGTTTTCGTAATAAATGCTGTCAAGAACTCCATTAATGGCTGATGTGCAGTGCAATAACTTTGCAGGATCTTTGTCTGCTTATGTGGCTTGTCGTTTTCTTGCCACGTGTTTAGATGTCATTGGTTCTTAATGCCATGTTGGGCTCCAACAACATTGGGCTTTAGTATTTGAATTATGCATTGGGCCCTAAGTGGTGGGTTATATCCTTTATGGGCTTACTCGTGTCAGTAGTCCCCCATTCCCAAGTGCAGCTTTAGTCCAACAAAGGGAACAAAGAAGAAAACAGTAGTTGTGGGAAATCGACGGGGCGAAGACCGACCTGGGGGTGACCTTACGGACGGACCGACCGTGAGGAGGGCCGATCGTGAAAGGTGACCGAAGGGAGGGACTGACCGTGAGGAGGGCCGACCTCGAAGTGTGAGTGGCGGTGCGCGGGGTTCGAGGGATGGCGGGGCACGTGGTGAAGTGAAGTGGAATAGACAGGGAAGGGAAAGGGGCAGTGGATCGTGGTCGTACACGTAGCGGAATCCCGTAATGGGGAGGTTAGGCGTTGGGCAAGAAACGAAGGGGTAGGTTAACACAGGGTGTTAAAAAGGCGGTTTTGGTAGATTTTTGAAAATTTTCAAATGGCGAAATTTAATTGTGACCCTTGGAATACAGGCAAACCTTGGACTTTTGGTGTTATCCGCTTTACCTATCTTTTTGCAAAAAATCAAAACGTTCCAGAAGTAAACTCTTTTGTGTCGAGTGATACACCTTTGCAATATTTTGTGAACTACTTTGTACCAGCGTCTGAAGTTATATGCAGACATACCAGAGAGATGGCTCGAGAGGAAGTGCCCATCATGAGATGAGATGCAATGGGAGACGACGACGTGGTGGACCTGGCGGAGCAATACAGGACGGAGAAACGAGCAGGGAGTGATGGGTAGCCGGCGGGGCGACCCCGTGCGTCCACAATGATAGCGGCTGCAAAGCCGATCAGTCAGGTAGAGCCAGATCACTGGCACACAAAGATCGACAAATCGACCTTTACTGCGGGGGAGTTGGAGGACTTGCGCGAGAAGTATCAGATTCCCGTGGAAACAGAGTTAAAACTGCCGACATCAAAGGAGAGGCCATCCGATGCTCGACCGGGGGAGTTTGCCCTCTATGAAGAGGCGTTAAAGGGGGGGTTGAGGTTGCCACTCCCCAGGATAGTAGTGGACGTGCTAGGTCGGTTGGAGGTGGCTCCGGGTGAATTGATGCCCAACGCGTAGAAGATTTTATTGGCCTGCGTAAGTGCGTGGTTGCGGGCGAATGACGGAGCTATAATGACAGTGGATGATTTTTTTACATGCTACAAGGCATCGGGCCAGCAAGAGACTTGGGTCACTCTACAGGCGGCGGCCGGGAAAGGGCTGGTGGCGGGGTTGCCATCGTCGGTGAAGGGGTGGAGGCCACGGTGGTTTTACGTGTCAGCCAACGGGGGAGTGGGAGTGCGCACAGTATGGAGGGTGCCAACCAAGTTAGTGGAGCTAAGGTTGGAGGCGGGGCAGATGAGAGGGTGAAGGAGGTGAAGGCATTGAGTGAGAAGGAGGGTGCCAAGTGGGACGACCTTGTTCAATCCTCAGCCTTATTTGCCTCGGGGCTGGGACCGTAGCCGACCGGTAGGGACCTCGCGCCAGCGGAATTGGAGGTGAGAAAGAGGGCACAGGAGGTGGAGGATAGGACGATTTTTGCCAAGGCTGATAAGTACAAAGAGTCACAGTTAGGTCGTCCGCCGAAACTGATCGCGAGGGAAAGAATCCGATCGTGCCCTAAGCCGCTAAGGGAAAACGACTTGGGCGGTTTTGAGCCACTACCGCCCCCAGTGGATCCATTGAAGGAAAGAGGCAACAAGGAGGTGGAGGCTGTGTTAAATAGGAGGAAGAAGAAGATGGTGGACA